TATTTTATTTCATTTACTATTTTTTTATTTATTTTTTATTTTTTTTACTATAGATTATTTATTTTATTTACTATGCATTTTCATTTGTTTTATTTTAATATTAATTTTAATTTATTATTATTTATTTTCGGATTTTTTTATGTCACATTTGTGTATTGTTTATTTACTGTTTGTTTGTATTTATTATTTATTTAGTATTTTGCTATTCTTTTAAAAATGTAGTTTATTTACTATTCAGTTATTTATTTTTTTGTGCTCTTCTTTGTTTTATTTATTTATTTATTAAAATTTACTATTTATTTATTTATCAATTAGATTTTTATTGTTATATCATACATTTATGTGATTATAATTAGTTTCTCTGCAAATATTATTCAAGAATAATATTTATTAAAGCAGTTTGTCATTTAACAAGAGGTGCAGCATCTTAAAATTTTATTAATTTATATTTGTAATAATTATTCTTATGGAATAGTTCATTTCCGCCGCTGGTTGTGATACATTTATGCAGCTTTAATGGTTTTTGGAGCTCATTAGAGTGAGTAGACCTTGATTTTTGGGTGAAATCTTTCTTTAAAGGTGCGTCTGCATCTCTATTGTGCAGATGTGACGCTGGATCTGGGTCATGCATCAAAGAGCTGAAGATGAAAAAAGCTTGACTAAAGGTGTCCTTGCCTTCGGTTCAATATGATAACAGTCTGATGTTCAGATACCGAACGCTTTCAATGACAGGAATCTGCTGCAGTTGTGACTATTAAACTCAGATTGCATAAAGAGAACAAATATAATATGTGACCCTGGAGAACAAAAGCAGTCTTAAGTCGCTGGGGTATATTTGTAGCAATAGCCAACAATACATTGTATGGGTCAAAATTATTGATTTTTCTTTTATGCCAAAAATCATTAGGATATTAAGTAAAGATCATGTTCCATGAAGATATTTAGTAAATTTCCTACTGTAAATATATCAAAACTTAATTTTTGATTAGTAATATGCATTGCTAAGAACTTCATTTGGACAACTTTAAAGATGATTTCCTCAATATTTAGATTTTTTTGCACCCTCAGATTCCAGATTTTCAAATAGTTGTATCTCGACCAAATATTGTCCTATCCTAACAAACCATACATAAATGGACAGATTATTTATTCAGCATCCAGATGATGCATAAATCTCAATTTCAGAAAATTGACCCTTATATCTGCTTTTTTTTGTGGTCCAGGGTCACAAATAATATGTGATTGTGTTTTGAGCATTGTTACGTTACTATGGTGTTCTGGGTCGTTGCTAGGTGTTTTTTCTCTTGCTCACGTCTCTATATGAGCAGGACTGAACTTTAATGCTCAGTATTATGGATTGATGACTGTGAGTGTCAGTGACTGAAGAAACACCTGTAATGTAGACTGAAGTCATGAGTTCATGCTTAAATAAGCGTGCCGTTGTTAAGTGCGAGTGATTAGAGATGCAAAGATCTAAGCGTGTGCTGGATTGCAGGGTGTTTTGCATGTCACGGCCGGACTAATGAGTCACGCTCAACACCTCGCTCTCAGCTTCTGTCCTGAAATAGACACTGATAGCTGCTGCTCCTTCATTGCTCACTGCAGATCTCGGCTGTGTTTAGGTTAAGGATCAACTTTGTCTTGGATGTTTCTCTTAAAATATCTCAGGGGAGATAAAAACAGACCCAAGTTACGAGTTGTCATCCAGTAAGAGTGTAGAGTAGTGTTGTTATTGTTAACTATTAGAAATTTTGTTTAATAGTATAATAGTATGTAAGTAATACTAAAATCGTCTATGAAATAGATGTAAAGCTATACAATAAAAATGGTGCAGCTCAGATCATTTGATGAGGAAAAAATTTAAACTTGTTTTATTTCTATTTCTAATTTTATTTTTATTTTTGGTTTAACTTGAAGTGCTAAAATAACTAAAACTATAACAGTAATCAAAATTAATAAAAACTCTGTACACGTTTATATAAAAAAAATATACAAAAACTAATAAAAATGACAAACAGAATATATTAATATAAAACATATTCAAAACATTAATTATTATTAACTAAAACCAAAACCAATTTAAAAAATGCATTACTTAAATGTATATGAGCAAGAATTAATTTGTAGTTTTAGTTATTTTAGCCAATCAAGTTATTTTATCACTTCAAGTTAAAAGAAAATGAGCAATTAAATAAGTTAAAATTAAATAAATAAAAAATACATACATATAAATATATTATATATTAAAATATATACATATTTTTTAATTTCTCATTTTCTCTTAACTTGAAGTGCTAAAATAACTGAAACTAAAACTTAAATAAAATATCAAAAACTATATACACATAAAAACTATTTAAAATGACAAAAACACAACAAAATTACTAAAACTGTAAGTAAACTTCAAAAAAAAAAAAAAGTGCCCTTGTGCTGTTTCTTCTCCTTTTAATCTCTTTTAATCTCAGTGCTTTTTAGGAGAAACTGTATTGAGATATTAAAGAGTGAATTTCACATGTGCTTTATCTCATGAATCATCTAATCATATCATCATGACCCGGATCTGTCATTAATCTAAACGTTTGTGTCCTGAAGGCATTGTGAGTCAGTGAGGTCTGTGTGTGTGTGTGTGTGTGAGTGAGAGAGAGAGTGTGTATGTGAGTGTCAGTGTGTGTGTTTGTGTGAGTGTCAGTGTGTGCGTGTGTGTCTGTATGTGTGTGTGTGTGTGAGGGTGTGAGTGAGTGTGTGAGTGAGAGTGTGTCTGTGTGTGTGTG